TTTTCCGGCCCCCATAAATGGGTCCAGGGGCGAGGGTTTTGGGGAAGCCCCCGCCACCCCTACTCGATGGACCCGAGGCGGAGGCGCGCGCGGGTGTCGGCGCGCGCCCCTGAGGCGATACACGGGGTAGTTTAACACCTCACTACCCCGTGCAGGAGACGAGGCCCGGACGGACCGGGCCAGCACTAGTGTGGGGCTGCGGAAGAATTTGGATTCCCGCGGCCCCACGCACACGTGTGAGGAGACACCGGGGTGGTTTTAGCCGGTAAGAGTCCGGCACGCCCCTCCGCCTTTCCCCAGGCGGAGGTAGTCCATGAGGATTTCCCCCCGTAAAAAAAAAAAAAAAAAAGGTTAGGTTAGGTTAGGTTAGGTTCCCCCCCGAACGGGTTCCCGCCTTGTCGTGGCGGGGGGGCTTTGTAGCCGTGGCTTGGTCAACCGCGGTGAACGAAGAGGAACCCCTTGGCTGGCCCGAGGTGTAGGGCCGGCCCGAGGTGGCCACTCCGAGTGGGCTTGGGAAGCCCACTTCGGATGTGTGTTGGTGGGCTGCGGTGAGAGGGGAGTCCCCACCCTCTACCGCTGCAGCGAGGTGGAGTCGCGGAGGAAGAGGAGTGTTGGTATGGCGATGCGCCACTCGCCCTATCCTCCGCGACTCAGACGGGGCCGCACCGTTAATTGATGCGGTGGTGGTGTGGCTGCGGGGGGAGAGGAGTGTCGGTATTGCGAGGCGCCGCTCTCCCTACCCTCCGCAGCCGAATCTTGGTCGGCGGCGGAGCCATAGACCAGATCCGCCGCTGGGGTCAGGAAGGCTGGTGCTTCTGAGTGCTAGTTTTTCCTGGCCCCATGGCCTCCGCGTATCGGACTCGGGGGGGTCCGATACGCAGGTGGAGTTGGAGGCTGTGGAGGGGGGTAGCTGAACACCTCGCTACCCCGTGCAGGAGACATGGCCCGGACAGACCGGGCCAGCACTAGTGTGGGGCTGCGGAAGAATTTGGATTCCCGCGGCCCCGCGCGCACGTGCGAGGCGGTACCATGGGGTTTTAGCCGGTAGGAGTCCGGCATAACCTTCCGGTTGCTCCCGCAGCCGGAGGTATCCATGAGGATTTCCCCACGAAAAAAAAAGAAAAAAGGTTAGGTTAGGTTTTTTTTTATTATTATTACTGTTAACACTACTACTTTACTGCAGTACCCTTCTTACTTATGCTTAAATTAATAATCTCTTTACAATTTTTTTTTTCGATGTTTTTTTTTTTTTTTTTTGGATTATTCCGCTCTGTGTGCCGTTTACTCATTATTAGCACCTAGTGCCTTTGGCTACATTACTTATACCACTACTCATATTACTAATACTTATAATTATACTCACTACTAATAATCTAAAGCTACAAGACATTAACTTACTGTTTCTTATTTACGACATAAACTTCATATGCATGCAAACTTAATCTTAATATAGGACACAGCTTTACAATGACTGGGATGTTTTTATTCAATAAATGTATATAATGATTCCCTATTCTTTTCTTTTTTTTTCTCTCTTTTTTTTTGTTTATAATTTTTTTTTAATAATTTTACCACTTTTTTCTAGCAATTTCTTTCTTTTGCCTTGCTCACCTTGCGTGTTTAATTTTTTTTTCTTTTTTTTTTTCTTGTTTTTTCTACAATTATACTTTTACAATTTACAATTTTTGAATCTACCTATCACTTATAACACATACATAATATCTTTATTTTTTTTTAATTAATTATCTTTATTTATTTACAAATAAATTATTTACTACTATCTATATTATACAATACATTTTTTCTTACACTTAATCTATATGTTTACTACCATTTTCCTTGCTTATAATTCTCAATACTGTAAGTGCAAATTTCATGAAGATAGTTCGGCAATTGTCTTGCATTATCATATTTAAATTATCTTTATTGATTGTCACTCCCATGGTGCATTCGGATTCGAATCTGGTTTTGCTAAAGCGCGGGCAGTCAATTAGTAAATGTTCTACAGTTGGTTCTAAGTTGTCATCACAAATGCAGCTTGGGGATGACGAGAGCTTATACTTGTATAAATACGCTTTATTTCCACCGTGACCGGTGAACAAATGGGTAGTTAAGTTTGTCATTTTTATATTTTTTATTATTTTGTATGCTATTACAATGTTGGGAAAAAAGGTCTTCGTTAGGTTACTAGTTGAAGATTCTTCATATCTTCTTTGCCAGACTTGGAGAGTGGAGTCTCTGATGAGGCGCTTTGCATAAGACAATGGGACTCTGTCATATGCTGGTCTTTGTTTGTTTTTAAGAGCAGCTCGCTTGGCTAATTCATCCGCCCTCTCGTTACCTTGGATTCCACAGTGTGCTTTTATCCAGTACAGCATTATTTTTGTTTTGTTATATTCCATGGATGTTATTATTTCTCGAATTTCGGCAGCGATTGGATTCAGCGATGATGGATCACAGATAGTTACTATTGCTGATCTTGAGTCACTAAGTATGTTGGCTCCTTGATAGTTTTTGTCAGCTACATATTTAACGGCTTTCAGAATTGCTATCATCTCCGCCTGAAAGACACTACAGTAGTTTTCCAGTCTAAATGATATTGTTCTTGTTTCAACTCCGTTTTGCCAGACTGATACAGCTGCACCCACTTTATTTTCAATCTTGCTGCCATCGGTATATATTTTTGGCCAGTTGTTTTTGATTTCTTCAATTTCATTCTGGTTACTTATGAGTTCGAATTGTCGCTCTGTTCATTCAGATGGATGAGGAAGGTTGTAAGGACTTACTCTTTTTTCCAATTCCCTGTCTGGCAGGTGTTCAATAGGTTTGCCTCGCTTAATTTCGTAGATTCTAGCATTCTCCTTAGCCCTTAATGCTAACGGTATTATTTGCGAAAGTAATGTGCTAGAGATTAAGGAATTAGTTCTGTGCCCTTTACATATTCTTATGCCGAAAATTTGGGTCATCCTGTTAAGCATACGTTCAATATATTTTCTTTCCGTTGTATCGGCCCAACAGCTGGCAGCGTAGAGTATAGTCGGCTCGACTACGGCTAAATAAATTGTCCTTATAATCTCCGAGTTTAGCCCCCAATGAGCCCTTGCTGCTCTGGAGACCATTTTATATATGTTTATGGCCTTGTGGCAAACATCATCCAGATGAGGCTTGAAGTTAATGTTTTTATCTATTGTTAGACCCAGAATTTTTACTCGATCCGAAAACTGAAGTTCTACTCCATCCATTTTTAAAACAGGTCGGTGAAATTTTTGTTTTTTGGTGATTATTACTGATTGGGTCTTGTGGGGGGCAAATCTTAATTTATATTTTTGGCCCCATTCAGTTATAATTCTAAGTGTGTCATTCACTTCTTCTTCGAGTTTTTGGCCATTTTGATTGGTAGCGACAATTAGGATGTCGTCGGCAAAAGCTTGTACGTGGGTGTTAAGTTTTTCTGTACTTTGCAGTAGTGGGTCGAGTAAGACATTCCAAAGTATGGGGCCGCAGGTAGATCCCTGGATACACCCTTTATTAGTGGGTTTTTGTACTGCGTGTCCAGCATACTTAAGGCATATTTCCCTCTCAGACAGATAGCTACTTATTATTTTCAGCATGGATGTATCAATTCTTTTAGAATTGAGTTGACTTACTATGGCGGCACACCATGCATTGTCAAATGCGCCCTCTATATCGAGTGATACTATTACGACTAAGGCTTTTTTCTTTAAGCCTTGCTTTATTATAGTAATACTGTCGTATAAGGCATCCTCTGTGCTTCTTTGAGGAGTGAAACCGTATTGCCTATGACTCATCCTGTCTTGTTTTCCTAGCTGCCATTGGACTCTGTTGACAAATAGTTTTTCCAGTATCTTGCCTAACACTGGCAACAGACCAATAGGTCTGTAAGACTTTGGCTGGGAGTAGTCTTCCCTATTTGTTTTAGGAATTACTTTTATTGTCGCCTTTTTCCATGTTTTTGGGAAGTAACCAAGCATCAGGCACTTGTTATACAGTGCTTGTAGGACTTCCGGATTAGTTTCGAACGCGACTTGACAGATATCCGACGTTAGGCCGTCCGCTCCAGGGGCTTTTTTGGGACTCATATTTTTGAATATATGTGCTATTTCCTGTTTGGTAAATTGCCTTATTGTTGTGATGTGCTCGCTTTTTAATCTGTTGGTCAATTCTAGCGTATGAGTCCTGATTTCGGCTTGATCTGCCGTATCAGTGTCAGAGCTATCCCAAGGAAAAAATGTGTCAGCTAGTTTGTTTGCCGATTCTACTTCCGAGAGAGTTTCACCGTTGGAATTCCTGAGGAGCCTGTCCTCCTCTTTTCTAGAACACACTTTCAGAATTCGGTACGTCCTTTGCCATAGGGATTCTTTTTCTTCCTTGGAACAGAGATCTATCCAACTTTTGATTGTAGCTTTTTCGATTGCGCTAGTAAAATCCTGTCTCGCGTCTAGGTATTGTTCTATTACGTAATTTATTCTTTTGGGGTGTGCGTTCTTTATTCTTCGTCTTCGTCTAATCATTTCTATTTTCTTTTCATCTATTTCTTTATTCCACCATATGGCTGTTTTAAATTTCCTCCCTTGGTTTATTAATGGTATATTTTTATCGCATGCTATTAAAATATTTTGTGTGTAGTCATTTATTAAGTTTTCTAACACTCGGGTTGTTTCAATTTCTTCAATTTTTTCTTTTGTTATGTTATTTTTTTGCAATTCAGCACTTAAATCTTTTTTTAGATTATCCCAATTAGCGTTTTTAGTGTTATATTTTCTTGTGGTATTTAGATTGATTTCAGTGGTATAACTATCTATTTCTAGGTTGAATAGGATTGACTTATGATTTGATATTGTGCAGAATGTATCGTCAACTCTCCAGTTTTTGACTCTGTGAAGTAACGAGGATGTACAGGCTGTAATGTCAATAATACTTGTACATAATGAACCCATTCTATGAGCAGAAAAGGTGGGTTTTGTTCCCACATTAAGGATTTATAAGTTTACTTCTGCTAGTGCTTCCATTATAGTTTTCCCTCTATTGTCATCTGCATTGCAGCCCCACCAGATACTCTTTGCATTGGCGTCACCTCCAATAATGATGTCTTCCGTCTTCATGCTTGATATGTATTTTTTGATTATTTGCAGGTCTTCGTCCAGATTTCCTTTTTCATGTAAGTACATGCTAATAATACCTATTTTTATATATCCTAACTTTAATTCAACACCTACTATATCTTCACTATGAAAATTAGGGTTTACAGAAAATTGTATTGTAGGGTCTGTGACGACAATTGCCGATCTAACTGGCTTAGAGATATCATGAGTAACTTTTTGAATGACGCGATATTGGGATCCCACAGATAGGTGAGCTTTTGCACCCACGTAAGGTTCCTGCATTAGAATGATCGAGAATCCCTGCATCGTGGCTGTGCGTAAACACTCGAGTGTTGCCGCCCGCCCACGATCCAGGTTATACTGTATAATTTTGATATGTTTTTTTATGTCGGAGGAACTCTGTTGTGCTAGGTTTGACCTGTCGTTGTCTGTATCTTAACAATATGATACTGAGGATCTTGCGATCCTATCCCATTTTTGCCATTCTTGGCATTCTGGGCTGTATGCAGGATGCATTAGATTTACTCGTCGTGCAATGCGGCAGTTACAGCACTTGGGAGCGTCGTTACGCTTTGTACACTCCCTCGTATCATGCCCTTCAGCACAGTATCCACAACGAGGCTCATTGTTGCAATCCCTTGCTTTGTGACTGAATCCAAGACACCTAAAGCACTGAGTAATTGGAGATTGGTCTACGCAAGGAACGACCTGGTAACCTATCCGCAGCTTCTGATCTTTCAATTTAGACCACATCTGAGGAGAGACTTCGAGGATTATGTTACTTACTTCTCTTATTCTTCCTCTGGTTCTGCGAAGGACTTTAATTGCTTTATCGTTTTCCGTTAATTCAGTTAGAATGTTGCTGTTTTCACTTGTTATTGCTTTAACTAATTTTACATCATCCAAGTCATTTGTGATTCCCACTAATCGTAACTGAGGTTTTTTAATAACTGGTGTAGATACAGTTAGTCTGTCGCAGGTGTCGCGAATGGCCGCTTTAAGTGTCTGCCTATCCTGCTTTGAGTCACAGTTAATAACAACTCTTTGGTTTTTCAGTTTAGTAATTTTATTGACTCGTATACCCAGTTCTACTGGGTCGATGTCGGTTTTAACCTGTTTTAAGATGTCATCACTCGTAGAACGTGGGTCTATAGATTCGACGATCATTGCATAACGGGGTGTTTGAGTCACTTCTGCGTAAGATTTTTTAGTGGTGTGAATTGGGCTTTTGGAAGGTTCAGTGTATATTTTGTGGTCTTTTTCATCTTCTGTAAATCTATTTATATTGCCAATATTTTTGAGTTCGTCAATTTTTTCCCTGATCTCTGATATAGCTAGTTCAGTTCCAAGGTCAGAATTTCCCTGAACTGCCATTTGAGATGTGTTATAATCTTTTAAATCACTAACTTCATTGTGTACAGTTCTAAGCAAAAGCGTTATGGGTTTTATAGTGTTTTCTAAATCAGCTTTTGTGACTGATTCCCTAGGTTGGTTTACCGATTGATATGATCGGAGCATTTCTTTTGTGTCCTCTAGTTGTGATATTATTTGATTGATTCGGGGATCCGGTTGTATGTTGAAATGTTCTGAGACAACTTTCTGAGTCTCCGGGACAATGTTGCTTTTAATTGATTTTTCTACCATCAAGCTGAGGTTTGTTACACTTTGGTTTAATTCTGATATTTTGCCTAGCAAAGTCGCAAAGTTTTCAGCGTACTTCTCGGAATGGACATAAGGTAATTCTTTCATTGACTGCGGTTGCACTTTTGTGGCTAATCCATGCATTTGTATTTGGATATTATTTATTGTTTTTATAGGTTCGTCCATCTCATAATTTAGCCATGAGCGTGCAGCCTCTACGACTTTGCCTGTGGCTATAATTGCTTCATATGTCTCTTCAAGCTTCTTATAATGGGAAGTTTGTATTTCGGCTAGCTGTCTGTTATGTGCACGCTCAACACGTACCAATTCTTTCGCTGCTCGGGATCTCTCCTGCTCCGCTGCCAACCTATGCCGAGAGCGAGAGTCCGATAACGATAATACTGTTTCGTAAAGGCCCTGCAAGCAATCGTGGACCTCGCTCTTACATTCACGTTTCATATTTCCTGCTTTCTCCAAAGCTTCTTTTCCAGAAAGCAGGAACTCATTAGCCCTCTGGGTTGCTAAGTCCATGGAGATGCCCGCGCGCTTTTGTGACGGTGGCAGTATACTTGACCTCCTGCTGTTGCCACTAGTTATACTGTCACCATCAGACCACTCATCTTCAGTCTCCCTGACTGGTTTGCATAGACCTAGGATGTTAAGTTCTTTATCAATGTCCAGAGTTATGGAACTACCGTCCTCCAAACCTGCATTTTGTGGTGTGAACTCTACTGGCGCAAGAGCATCCCGTATGTCTGTGCTATGACTGGAGGAGTTGGAAGCAGCAGAACAAGAGGCTAATTCTCCAACCGTTGGGGTGTTATCCTGCTCCGCCTCCGCCGTCCTCCCAGACGTGGTTGCATTTTGGATTAACACTTTTTTACGCAGCGCCACACTGGGGGTTGGACTTACACCTCTTTTAACTTTCGACAGACTTGACTTAGCTGAGCTAGAGCCTGAAGATCCAGATTTGCAGGACATTTTTTTTCCTCACCTTTGAACAGCCCTATTGGTACAGCACTGCAAGATTTATATACCCCGTATAATTCCAAAGCGTTTGAGCCCAAACACCACTTCAATCGGTTCAGCGGTTTTGAAGTAACAGACTTTTAAAATTTTTCAATATGGCGGACTAAATATATATCTATATATTCCCCTGAAGTTTTTTATACTATAGCAGGTATGTAGTTTACCCTTTGGTCGTAACTATGCCGAAAACCGCATCAAATTTGGACGTTTCGTTCGAGAGTTATGCGTGTTCTTCGCTAGTCAAGATGGCAGTGAAGGTGGCCACTTCAGTTTATGATCAAAGACTTCTGGATCTAACTTAATGATATAGGTATCGCTTAACCTATAAGTATGTTGAAAACCGCATCAAAATCGGACCCTTGGTTCCAAAGTTATGCAGCTTTGAAATATTTCAATATGGCGTCTCAATATGGCGGTCGATAACTTTAAAGCGGATTATTTTAAGCCCAGTTTGAGTGAAATAGTCGTGTTTGGGCTCATTTGACTCGTCTCTTTGCAGGCTATACAATGGTATCGCCAGATTATGGTGATATTGGCGATTGGATTTTCTTATTCCAAAGTGTGCTGAAGTCAATTCTAGCACCTATACTGAAAACCTCGCGTTTCTGTGACGAATACTTTCCGAGATATAAAACTTTAAAAATTTCCAATATGGCGGACAAAATGGTCGAAAAGTAAAAATTATAATATCTCCGCAACAAAAAGAGCTAGGATAGTCGTGCTTGGACTGTAGTAAATGGAAATTTTACGTTCTATCGATTGGTAATCAGTGTCACACTGATAAGTCTAGCTGAACTGAAAAATCCTGAAAAATAACTGAAAATCACGTAACTCCTAAACGAATAAAGATATCGCAATTCTGTAAACGGATTTTTTAACTTTATGTAACGTACTATGTTTCTACTAACAAACTGTTTTCGATAGGTGGTTGGAAGACAGAGCACGTGGAAGAGTGTTCTCAGAAAAAATCTTATATCTCTGAAACGGCTGATTCAAAAAATCCGAAATTCTGCAATTAGATTTTATATTAGTTTTTCAATAAAGCTACGAAATAAAAAAGGCAGGTTGTCGCTCAATATCACTCGCAATAGTCAGGTGAAAATGAGTGATGTCAGAGAAATTGACACTTTCAGCAATAACTTCTAAACTACAAATCCGGCCTTGGTGAAACAAGTACCGGGAGGCTTCTCAAACAATAACCAACAGATCTGCGTGTTGAAATTCAGCCGCACGGTCGCGGTTTGAATTTTCACTGCCACGTGGTTTTTTGGTTTTCCTCCTATATCTCGAAAACCAATTGGCAGAAAAATCTGATGAAAGTGCCGAACTGTAGAGCAACTTAAATGTCACTAGATGAAAAAATAAAATCAGTATGTCTTCGATCAAAAAACAGCGGCGTATGCAAATATGTGTAAAATCTTAAATGAAATTTTTACCTTTTTTGCAATTTCGCCGCTGGATTTCACTGATTTTCTCTGTGACACTACACCTCCCACTACTGGCACAATGATAGGCTTAAAGAACACACGGAACAGCACAAATCAACGCTTGATTCACCAAAATCGGATCACTTAAACCTATTTTTCGGATTTTTTGAATGCGGAGCAACACGGAAACGATGCGTACGGCACGAGAGTCGGCGGAATACTTTGGTTAGGTTAGGTTAGGTTAGGTTCCCCCCCGAACGGGTTCCCGCCTTGTCGTGGCGGGGGGGCTTAGTAGCCGTGGCTTGGTCAACCACGGTGAACGAAGAGGAACCCCTTGGCTGGCCCGAGGTGTAGGGCCGGCCCGAGGTGGCCACTCCGAGTGGGCTTGGGAAGCCCTCTTCGGATGTGTGTCGGGGGGCTGTGGTGAGAGGGGAGTCCGCAACCCTCTACCGCTGCAGCCGAGGTGGAGTCGCGGAGGAAGAGGAGTGTTGGTATGGCGATGCGCCACTCGCCCTATCCTCCGCGACTCAGACGGGGCCGCACCGTTGAATGATGCGGTGGTGGTGGGGCTGCGGGGGGAGAGGAGTGTCGGTATTGCGAGGCGCCGCTCTCCCTACCCTCCACAGCCGAATCTTGGTTGGCGGCGGAGCCATAGACCAGATCCGCCGCTGGGGTCGGGAAGGCTGGTGCTTCTTAGTGCTAGTTTTTCCTGGCCCCATGGCCTTCGCGCATCGGACACGGGGGCGTCTGTTGCGCATATGAAATTGGAGGCCGAGGAGGAGGGCGCGCCATGTGTTCTGGTGCGCCTTACCGGAGAAGGAGATGGGGGAGGAGTGGTCCTCTCCCGAGGAGGGGCCGCCATGGGGTGGCCGGCGCAGGTGGGGCCGCGGAAGTGTGCGAAAGCGTTCCCGTGGCCCTGCCAATATGTGACGAGGGTGGAACACCATGGGGTTTTAGTCGGTGCGAGTCCGACATAACCCGTCCTTGCCCCCGCGAGGCGGGTATGCGTAGGCATTTCCCCATGTAAAAAAAAAAAAGGTTAGGTTAGGTTAGGTTAGGTTAGGTTAGGTTCCCCCCCGAACGGGTTCCCGCCTTGTCGTGGCGGGGGGGGGGGGCTTAGTAGCCGTGGCTTGGTCAACCACGGTGAACAAAGAGGAACCCCTTGGCTGGCCCGTGGTGTAGGGCCGGCGCGAGGTGGCCACTCCGAGT